ATGCCCACAATGAACATCAACCAGTAAAACAAATTTCTGCTGAATAATAATTCTTTAAACTTGTCATTTTTAAAGCAAATTTTTGATTAACACACGTATATATGAATATGTTAAATACTGAACTTTCAACAATACAAAGGTTTGTCTTCTATATTTTTGCACTTTTTGTTCATCTATGCTTTTAAATATATTTGGCAACAAAAAATTTGAAAGAATGATTTCTTAGACATCATATATTTATAATATTGGAAAAGAAGGTATGGCTATTAGTAATGTAGATATTGATTGTCTTCAACATATTTGATTTTCTGTATAATAGCTTTCATCAATCTGCATGTCTTGTTGACTGTGTGAACTAAATTCTGAAAGAGAAACTCCTTGCTGTATTGAAGAATAAGTGTTACTTGTTTCTTCCAACTCCTTAATTAATTCTCCTGGACTCGCAGGTTGTGGTATCATTAGGATTTGGTCAAAATGAGATAGGTTCAAGGGAGATTGCTTTTCATTTGCTTTAACCTGATGCTGTGCATCATTTTTAGAAGATTGTTTAGCATCTTCAGGTGTAGACCTTGAAAGACCATTTTTTGAATTGTTTTCTTTTTGAAATATGTTACTTTCATCATCTGAATTATATGATACTCGTAAAATGTTTGATCCTATGCTAAGTTGTGATGCATCTTCGAAACAAATTACAGATGACTCATCAGGACTGTCTTCATTATCATCTTCATAAATTTGGGAATAAATGAAACCTTTATCATCAAAACCACTTTCAGTGAGATTTTCTTCTTCTTCTAAATTATTTGAATTACAGGAATCTTCTAAAATCTCCTCTAGTTCTTTCCTCCCTAGGTTTTTTAAACATTCCACATTAGAGAGATCTGGCTGAAATATGTTGCGATAGGAGTACCTTGGAGCTAAATTGTCTTCTGGACACTGTATAGAATGTCTTTGTGATTGTTTTAGTATGGAGGCATGGCATTCACTTGCTGTAAAAGGAAGAGAAAAACGCCTATGTTGTAAAACATTTTTTGTAGTTCCTTTAACAGAAAGTATTGACAATCTTGATTCAAGGATATCAGAATTAATATTTAATTCATTCCCATTGTATATGGGTTTGATTTTTTTTTCTGGAACAGGTTCCGTGCTTAATGTATTGCCTTTTTTAATCTTATTAAAATAATTTTCTTCATTTGCTTTGTTCATAATTTCAGGGATAGTTTCAACTGGTGTAGTGCTTGTTCTTTGAGATGTAACATAAATGGTAGAAAATTCATTTGATGCAGGTATTTGAAAAACACATGATTGTTTATCTTCTGCAACTGGTGTAAATGTGTTAATGACTGTTTCTTCCATCATGCTTTCCACAGTACCAGAATTTATTTTTTTGTTGTCATATTGTGTTATTTCTGGTTCACTCATAATCATATTTATAGGGCTTTGTATACACTCATTATCAAATGTAACACTCTCGACACCTTGAAGAGCATCCACTTTTGTTGCATCACTCACAGCTTTATCCAAGAGTTTTAGCGAATTTAATTCATGCTCCTCAATCATATTTTCACTTTTAGTACCACCACAATTGACAGCTGATATATCCTCAGACATTCCTGAAGTTACTTACTCTTTTATTGTTTACTATTTTTATCAATCATATAACAAGTAACTGATTAAGTATCCAAAATATTCAGAGACGACTTCTATGTTTTCTGTGTCTACCACTGTAGATAAATCTTCAACATTTTTCGCAAGCAGTGTATTAAAATCGAGTGTTATTGGTTTTGGTATTAGGTGATGTTCAAATGACAAGCTTAACTTTTTTAATTCTCTTCACAATCCGATCTTGGTTCAGCTTCTAGCACTGCACGAAATGAAAACCCTTAAACCTGAGCTTTTATAACACAAAATATGGAAGCTCCACTTTCACTTTTTGTTCAGGAAAATAACATTCAGGCATGGTGGTTCTCTTACTGAAAATTTCACGTATTTCCTAATAAATAAAAAAAAGTGAAAAGATATTAATAGTAATACAACTAATACTCATTTTCAAACACGATGTAAAGTATAGCCTTCATATCGTGGTTTCAGAATAGCTAGGTTTTGCAGATATTGAAATAGTATGCAAAATGATATACATAAATGCTTACTTAACATTTCGCGTATGTTTTATGGCAGTTCTTTTTTAGGTACTAAACAAAATACACTCCATTATATAATATTTCAACTAGAACCACTAACATTTATTTATTCTATTAAAATTAAAAACGCAAATTCGCCCTTAAATTTTATTCTTCATTAATGAGAATAGTGAATACTAGCAAAAAAATTAAGATTTGAGTATTTTATTTTTTGAAACGATTGGTATATATCGCTACCCAATATACATTTCTTTGTAACTAAATGTGAACTAGTAAAACCTTCTGTATTTCTTTAAGAAAACGTAGAATGAAAAAAAAAAACCGATATGTAATTTGTTGTGCACTGTATTGTGTATAACATAAATATAATCATGCATCACGATTTTGTTTGTTTGAAGTTGAGCACAAAGCTACACAATGGGCTATCTGTGCTCTGCCCACCACGGATATAGAAACCCTGTTTCTAGCGTTGTAAGTCCGCAGACATGCCGCTGTGCCACTGGGGGGGAGGGGGGGCATGCATCACGAGTCATTAAAGATTAATGTGATATTATAGTTTATTATTTCATCAAAAGTACCAAAATTATAATTAACAAGTTGAGGTACCCATCCAATTGCCCAGGTTATGAACTTAAAAAAAAATGTGTGGATGGATATTATGATAAATAACACAAAAATCATAATTTTGCACATTGCATTCCTCCATAGAGTGCTAGTGCACTCTCCGAGTTATATGTAACGTTTGTGTGCCTTCTTCCCACACTTTGTGTATGCTGTGTTATAGAAAATTTAATATTTTTTGTGTAAGGGTATGGCGCCATCTATGAATGTAGTTAACTTACGTCAAAGATAATAAATGCTGAATAACAGCAATAATGGGGAGTGGAAGGAGTTCTTAACCCCCCACAAATATGTCCCTTGTTACAAACTATCATTCACGGTTGAGATTGGCGCAGCGACTTAGGCGTAGTTAGATAACGGACAAACACACATATTTTATTTGTGTGTGTGTGTGTGCCGTATATATATATTTAGAAGCTGTTGTATGTCATAGGTTATCAGCGTTATACACAACATAAAAAACATTTAAAAATTAAATGGGATTTAGTGTAGTAATATTAGAAATGAGTTTGAAATGTGTTTTAAAGTAAGTGACAAAAAGTACTATACGTTTTACTTAAGACACCGTGTCATATCCTTGTTTTAACACTTTGTCTCATTCATATCCATAACATTGAAAGAAATGAAGAGAAAGGGAGGAGGAGTGTTTTGTTTTTTCATACTGTATGCATCACTTAAAGTACAAAAACATTAAGAAGACAGCTTTTCTTTCTCATCAGATACAATAATACATTCCAACGTCGAAAGGTTTCTCATCACCTGCGTCACTGCAAAATACAACAATAAATAAGACTTCCTACTAAAGTACTATTATATGATGTTTACACGATAACTGAAGAGTAAGAAAGAAAATGGCTTATTTTACTCAAAATAAGATCTGTGAACCCTTGGTTATTACAACATTTATGTGTACTGAACTTATGCACGAAAAGAAATTGAAATGAATTTCTGACCTGATTAAGTTGAAGAAAATAGACTGGACATAATCCTAACAGTGCAAAAATCAGTCTCTTTGGTAAACAACAAAATGTCAGAACTGGCAAGTGCACAATACGTCGGACAGTGCTCCAGTGGATATCAGAAAATGTTTTGTTTATTTCTTGCATTTCGCGCAAAGCTTTATGAGGGCTAACTGCGCTAGTCATAATACTTTTGAATGCATAGATTAGAGAAAAGGCAGTTAGTCAACACTACCATCCGCCAACTCGTGGGCTGCTCTTTACCAACAAATAGTGGATTAACAGTCATATAATAATGTCTTCATGACTGAAAGGACGAGCATGTTCAATGATAGTTTTTTATACGCGAGTCACAGGTTGAAAGTCGAGCACCATAACCATTAGGTTATACTAGGTCTGAGATTTTTAAACCTTGAGGGATCTGAAATAACTTTCTTTAGACTTGGATAATTAACCTCTGTATACTTTTATGAATAAGGTGTACTCTCCCAGAGCATAGGCGTCACTCACATGATTGGTCATCATGTAGAAGAAAATATAGAGGACATAATATATAGGTATCTACAAACTTTCACATCACAATGTTGCCATATAAAAAACAACTCCAGAAACACAGTCAGTGAGATAGTCAAAAGTTACACACTAACTAGCACACGAAATAAGGTCATTACTATACAAAATTGTATACTTTACTATACTTTAATTGTAAAATTTAAAACCAATCCAATATACAAAAATATATGTGAATCAGTCATGCTCCTGTAGTACCCTAGTTCTTCCAACTGTAAAAACACAATATACGATCATACACAAGACAAACAGGTACAACTCTTTTAACAAAGGTCAGGGCATCACAATATAAAATACATTACAATATCATGATAAAATATATTTATAAAGACCCTTCAACATTGATAACTTCCATTCTCAGTAAAATACAACATTATAATACATTAAATATGGAAACAAATACTTTTTGGTATTTTCTGGTACAGCCAATTTCCCGGCAAGTTTCGGATAGGCAAACACGCAAATAACAACATATTCGATCAAGAAATAAGGGAAGTGTTATGTAATAGATAGTTTGACTAGGTTCCTTTAAATGTACAATAACGAGTCTGGCCAAATGTGAATGAAAGAACAAAATCTTTATCATAACAAATAAATGAAAAATACAATGTGAATATTTATGCAGAAGAAATGACAGTCTTTTCTACTATGCTGTGTTTAGCTCCACAGCTTTCTCCCCTCGAGATTAATCTCTCTAGACCTAAAACACGGTGTTCTTAGAAATAGCTGTCACTTGATGATCTCCTAGAAGAAACTGGCTGAAGAATGCATGCCCAATTCAACAGGTAAATTTACTTTGTTTGTCCAGTTGACTCATAAGATTTGTTCCCTTACAGCATTGGTCAGCTCTTACACTTGGTCAATATCATAATTGAACAGCAAAAGAAGATTTTAACCCAGATACTACAAGTTACTGCAATTTTCTCTTGGGCAGAAGATGCATCACCAACCACAGAAAACAAGAAACGAAACAATTAGAACAAAGTAATCTTATTGACTTTCTTAAATACATGTTGCTGCCAATACAGCATAAAACCTACATAACCAAAAAAATTGTAAAATATCTATATTACTAAAGCAAGTAGAAAACACGAGGTATGCCTACATATCACACCTTTAAAACTTTCATGGAAATATCTTACTATACTAAAGTACTTAATAAGACCCATTAATAATGATAAATTTAAAAGTATAGCACATTTTCAAAATAAACCCTTTACCATTTAATAGTCAAACTTTACAAACAAAAATACAATACAAAAGGCATTTTAACAGTGATACAGATATATACGACTTTCAACTAGGACTAGTTAACAGCCATCATTGCTATTGTCAAATTACTAAACATGCATTTACGACTATATCTAAAATACAGAAAACCCTTTATCAAAAAAAATATAAATTATCTTACATAGATATTTACTTCATTTTTCCATACAGGGTTATCAAAAAATGAAGTGTAATGTCTTATAAAATAACTTTCACTTGTGCATAAAAAACATTATGAAGAAACCACAGATAACTAGTTAAAGTTGTCATAAATGAAAGGTAACATCTTATCTAAATAATATTTCATTTGCAAATAAAAAACTATTACGAAGGAATCATAGGTAACTATTTAAAGTTATCAAAAAGGAAGGGCAGTGTTTTCTGTTCTGGTTTACAAAAAAACTAGTAAAATAAAAATATGAAAAAGTAGAAAGGCACAAATTATGCACTAAACATTCAAAGTGTAATTTCAAATGTCCAAGTGCAGACTCTCCTATAGAGTGGTCGATCTTATGTTTTCAGAATTGGTCTTTCATATGATCTCCATGACCTTTGCCAACATTTAACAATCAGAGGTTTGGTTAAAGAGGTTGAGATTCCCATGTCAGTATGGTAATTGAAGTAGAGATACAATGCTCTTACCAGTGCTTACTCAGACTAACAGGAAGGCCTTACTGGTCTTGCGTATGTTGTGATCCTACCACATGTGAGTGCATAGGTTATTTCAATTGTTGCAAGTTTCATAACAACCTTCAACAGGACACTTGAAGGGAATATGGGTACTCTTCCACTTCTTGGCTCTTTTCTCATTCAGTCAAGATGTATTTATGGTCAGTGATGTTTACTACATGGGCTGTGCAGCAAGCACACTAGGTTCTGGTGTGTTAGTAGCAGGGAATGGTGATGCTTCCCAGACTTGCTGTGTTGCTAGAATGTGAAAATATGGTTTGTGTCAAGTTTATTTTTGCATAAACATCATACTAATGCTCATCACAAAATTCCACTTGAATTCTCGGAAAACAAAGATTGAAAATTGCTTTCAACCTTTAGATGTATTAGGACTTCTAATAATCATTCCAGTCCAGCTAACTCTAAGTATTGTAGGCGCTATATCTAATAACATGAGCTACACTAGCTAAACAATAATCAAGTGACTATCACAATATATACTTTATATCTTAATGTAAAATACCGCTTGGTGGTTCGGAAAGTAAGGGTTACAACGCTCTATCTGTTTACAAGTGTTTTATAACTCCTTACAATAATCTCTAGTCAACAACCTGTCGATGTTCTAGATATTGTATCTCTTAACATCATATGACGTTCTGTAAGACTCCCACCATCAAATATTGCTCATTAGCTCAAAAAGGGTCACAATTCCTTTTCAGCAGTCAATTTATAAATTAAATCTCCATTTTAATTGCTGGGTTTACAGTTAATCCCAGCTATATTGATCAGGAGGTCACTGTTGGTATCTTGGCTAATCATAGAATAATCACACTGCTCCTACACTAACATCGCCTCATCTGATTCCTAATGGACAGCCAGTTAAGTACTTCTAGAATCTTCATCCTCCTAACCAAGTTGAGATGATACAAAACAAGACTATCAAACTAATCAATATCAACCTCTGATTTATGATCAAAACAGTTTCCAAAAGGTTCATCAGTAACATATGGCTTCAGCTTAGTGTGTTTAATGCATTTATTTGCATCATATGAATGACATATCATGTAGTTTGATGGAGTAAGTTGTCATAGGATGAAATGATGACCAGTTCAGCCAGAAATGAGTTCCTCATGTGCTGTAGGCACAGGGCCAAAGCCATATCAAAACTTCCCATTGAAACTTTCATTCCTTCACTGCCTTATCAAAGCATCTCTTCTACCATATGGCGATTTTTCCTGGCTGTTGATGTAACCGTGCATCAACTTATACAGGCCTCAAACACTACATATCTCTGTAGACACTTTGACACATCTGCCCAAGGGAAAACCACACATCCACTTCACAGGGAGCTATATTTTTCAACCAAATATAAGCATGTTTGTCAAACAACCAGTCGACTTCAACTACATTGCATGATAAGCCATGATGATGTACTGTAAGTGTTCATCCCAGGAACTTCAGTCAGAATTAACAAACTTTGCAAGCACCTGCTTGGTAGCCTGTATTGTTCAGTCTGCCAAACCATCATACTGGGTGTGACAACACAAAATGTGTGCCTTCACCAAACCCAAGATCTTACAATTCAGCAACTAACTGTTGAAATGAGATCCTTTGTGCTCCAATATGAGGACCAGCTATACCCAGGGCTATTCTCTGTGATTGAGAAAAATGGGAATTTGTCCAGAAAAAATAATTTGCAAATTAGTACATGTTCAAGTATCATTATGATGATCTCCAGTCCTGGCATTATGTTAAGTCTGGAGTATCTCCTATCCAAGAGCTCTGGGACCATTAATTGTAGTACAGGTTGAGAATTATATCTTGGTGGTTTATAGCAATGGTATAGCACTCCTTCTTATACGTGTAAGTACTAATACAAGTTCCATTGGTTACATACATCTATGCTGTGTAACCAAGATCTTCGGGGTTTATGCTCCACTTTTCTGAAAGGCAAATAGCACCCAAGATAGATCTTAATATTTTAGTTTTTTATTCCTAGAGCTCCTGAAGTGTCTTTCATGGTGTATGTACATTAATTAATTAAGCACTATTGTATGGTCTAATGCAATTCTTGATGTAATGGCACTCACTCCCATACTGCATTCAGGATCAGGAATTTCAACAAATGGACAAGCTCTCATTGCTTGATAAAACATTCTACTAGTGTTTTCCTCCTAAACATGCACCTGTGCAATCCACTGTTTTCATAACTTATCTGACTGGCATTGAATGGTTTTCTATGGAAACACAGTTTAGCTGTTGCACAGGTAAAATTGACTGACAGTTTCTGCACTATATTCATCTGCAAAATTCCAGCACCAGAACCTAGATCAGAGACAATTAATTTTATACTTTGAATAAAATTTCGTTAACATAGTCTCTCCATTCACACCTAATCAATAACCATACACCAAAACAAAGTCTTCGCCAACTGGCTTTACTTGGAGTGCCTGATACACAGCAAAGTACCAAGGTTATGGCAGCTCCAGGATTAACCAAGAACTCGACTTTACTTTTGTGTACTCTTATCATAATACCAAACCCCTCATAGCCCTGAATGAGCTTGGCTGAACACCAAATTTTTCAGAGATTTCCCTCTCCTTTCACTTCTAGCAAAGTTCTTGATCTGCTCCTGGATAACAGAATGATGTGTTGCCACAGAAAACTTGTCTTCCACCCCCTTATGGCCCCAGGATCCCTCATGCCTCATCATAGTTCTAGCAACATACTTCCATTCTCAGATAAAAGTTCATCCATTCCACAGGCTACAATCTTTACCATTCAGTGCTTGCCACCTCTACTGGCAGCAAGAAAATTCCACCTGGTGGACTTTCCACTCAGCGTTAAGTCTACGAGCCTTCAAGTCACCACATACACCACTCAGTTGTTCATGCTTCCTGTGAGAAGAAGATAATGTTCAAAGTAGAATCTGATCAGCCACTCTGAAGATTCCATGTCACAGTTCTCCTTCCTGAATTTGTGGCTGGAGCGAGATTGTAGACATGGCTCTTCACTGTCGTGGCGAAAAACCGACGACAAAGGGAGAACTTCTCTTAGACCCAACAACTTTTTCTGATCAGGTATTACTTTCAATGTCAAACTCTTCCCCTTGTTCATAAGTTCTTTGTTTGGAATAGCCATTTCTGAGTTGTATTAAAGTACAAATCTTATGCTATATACAGCACTAAGAAACACACACAAAAAAAATCACCCAGGAAAAGTTATAAACTCAACAAAAACAAATCCTATAGTGACAGCACTAGATTTTATCCTTACTACTTTACTTTGTGGTATTCTCAGGTGTACTGATAACTTTAAAAATAAGGATAGCAAGTGCAGATAACTAGAGGAATGACAGAAATGTAATGCAGAATAATATAAATTCCCGACCTGACTGAGATGAAGAAAAGAGACTGGATGTAATTTCGACAATGTAAAAAATAATTTTTACAAAAGTCAAAACAGATTCAATGCTTTAGGAAGTGTTTCTATGCATGGCAGAAAGAAATGTTTGAAACACAGACAATGTCAAATAATTCTGTCTTTAGACTGAAAGTACTCCACATATTTGAATCAATAGGGTCAACTCTCCCAAACCATACGCATTACCAACATCATTGGTCATTCCACAGGTGGAAATAAGGAGCACATGGTATAAGGTGACCATATTTTGCAAATCAAAAACAGGAGTACTTATATACAAAATTTTACCTGTAATCACTTTAATTCCAGATACAGGCGGTACTGGGAAAACTTGCTGTATTCTAGAGAATTGTATTTCTCTGTTGAGTGAACCTGCTTTCAGATTTTATTATTCTAAAAAAAAGAACAGGGACATGCTATATGGCATATTCAAATTCGTAGATATGGCAACTGCAAAAGTGTCGACACGTATATATAACTATGTTATACGTAAGCTAATAATAATAACTGGCTGAGTGTTTATTTCTAATGTATTTCTTCTGCATATTTCAAACCATGTATAATAAATCCAGGACTAGTTTTAGGACAACTCTCGTCATCCGATAACTGCCTCTGGATATCGGGGTTGTATGGTTACCCTAATATAGCCTATAGATACGCATATCTAGTGTTGTTAAAGAGCCCACTTACGCCATTAACATAACTCACCAACGGTCACAACATCATCAACAAAATCTAAAAATACCAAAGTATAACTAGAATTTTTGAACCTTTATAAACGTTCCCAAAGCGTGTTTATGGGCAAATTTTGAAAACTTTAAGATAAACTAACGCTTACCTTTCTAATTGCTTTGTTAAGAATTTCGAGCACAGCTACATCAGGATTATCCTAATTTAGCAGTTAAAGACTAGGGGGAAGACAGCTAGTCCTCACCACCCACCGCCAACCCTTGGGCTACTCTTTTATTAATAAATTGTTGGATTGACTGTCACATTATAACGCCAATACGGCTGAAAGGGCGAGCATGTTTGGTGGGACAGAGATTCGAACTGCGACCCGCAGGTTGCAAGTGGAACGCCCTAATCACCTGGCCATGCTAGGCCTACTTTTCTCAGTCGTCATAGTGGTACCATTACTTAGAAGCCAAACTTTCCAACTAACCAGTTAAAGTTTTTGTTTGTTTAAAGTTAAGCACAAAGCTTCACAATGGGCTATCTGTGTTCTGCCCACCACGGGTATCAAAACCCGGTTTCTAGCGTTGTAAATCCGCAGACATGCCGCTGTGCCACTGGGGTCCAGTTAAAGTTATTCCAAGTAGTAATAGTAATGTTCCCTAAAATTGTGCTTTATTAACTTAGTTAGGCCTAACAAAAGTCCTATTATGTAAAATTATAGCAATTTTTATATAGAATTATTTAATTTGGATAATACTATTAAGCTTAGTGTCAGTAGTAAATCTAGGTTACTGCTTTATGCGCATTATCAATATCAATCATTAAACTTGGGACACTGTTTTGCATTGTCTTAGTTTTGTTACTATTAATACCGCCTAGTATCTTAATTAATTATAGAAAGACTAAATCTACGTCTACGCTACTGTCCAAGATAGACCTAAATTAGCCCTACTGATAATACTATATATATATATATATCGTATATATACGATTTTCCTAAGGATAACCCTTAGGCCTAACACTTTAATTAAGGAATAAATATACAAAATCAATTTACACGTATATTTACGATTACTTTATATGTAACTCTTGGCTTTAACAATTTAATTTTTTACATATAAAGTAACAGACATTTTATTTTGGGCTTCAAGTTTATATACGGGAATTTATCATGACAACGTACTTTACTGTAGACTGTAAAGATTTATTACATACTTGCTTTCAATTTGAAAATTCCAGGATAATGTGCGCATGCTCCGTAACGTACCCCACGCATATATAAAAATAAAAGTAATATATTACTGTTTCTTAAAAAATTCAGTGCTTACTGAAGGATAGAAACCAATAATTAATAAAGACGACAAACAACTCCAGAAAAATTCTGTAGTTGTCTGTCGTCTTCATTAAATAATAAAAGTAATACTATTTTTTCTTTCATCATTTGGATATATATATATATAACCACAGAATTCCAGACAAAAACATCAATTTACCATACTGTTACGTCTCCGTTTGTTAATTAATTTTTCCGTAAATTCTTTCCAACTAAACTTTAGCGACACAAGTCCTTACTTAATAAAACTGGTTTATTCTTTCTGAATATAACTTTACGATACACTTAATTTCAACATTCGCGCTAAAACAAACGCTCTAACAACGAACGTTAACTTCAACAATACTCTCTGACTGCAGATCAAATACTCACTACCTACACATTGTCCCGTCACGTTGTCACCATCTTATATATACCAGCTACCCCCAATCTAGTAATCTCACGAAGGTTCGAGAAAGAAGTGGCGTGATACTAGTCACGTGACCTCGCTGACGCAACCATACCTTCTTGCAAGTCCCAAGCAGTGATATAAACAGTTCTCAATTTCTTTGTGTTTTTCACGATATTTCAGGTGTCAAAATTGGCC